CGCCTGTGGGTCCGCGGTGGGGCGCTGCGCGGCGGGGACGAGCTCCGGGCCCGGCGCCCGGCCAGGTAGGCGGCCCGGGCGGGTGGGTGCGAGCCGAGCCCCCGCGAGGAGTCGGGGAGGGGGCCCAGGTGCGCCCGCAGCGGGATGGGCCCGCCCCCCGCGCCGAGCCGCCGCTAGTCCCTCCTCCGCCACCGCACCCGCCGCTCACCTCACCTCAGCTGATGCCGAGCCCCAAGCGGCTGGGCCGGAGGTGAAAGAGCTGGCCGTGCTCCTTGCTGGAGCTGCCGGCCTCTGGCCCTGGTTCAGCCTCCGTGCCAGTCTGCGGAAGTTAGAACCGAGAGGCAGGTGACCCCACGCTTGTCAGTGGGCTCACGGCTGATATTTTGCCACGTTCTAGAAACGAGCTGGGGTAGATGTGGATCAACCACCATTTGCCACGACTGTTCTTTTGAAACCTGAAACGGGGCCCAACTGCTTTGCTGGTGGCGGGCCCTCCCTCAGCTTCGCCTCTCTCCTCTTGGGGGGGGTGAAATGGCTAGCCAGGAGATCCCTTCCTTGTTCTGGAACATCCGCAGCTTAGTGGTGTGAGGGTAGGAGTTCCTCGTTTGGGAAATCCTGGCTCGTTGGATTGGGCCTGGTAGGCCCCTGAGCTGTGGGGACAGGGGGTGCAGAACTGAGCGGAGGAAGGGGTCCCCTGCTGCCTTTGACACCTAGGTGATGGCAGGGCCACCTCCACTCTCTGCCTGCTCTTTCCCCCAGGGCTCCACAGAGAAGGAGACCCTGTCCCCAGCTTTTCTCCTCGAGGTGGCCTCTCTTCGTCATACCCCAGAACTTGGCAGTCTTTGGGGATTTTCTGAATCTCATTAAATGAAGCTCGTCTCAGGATGTCTGGATTCTATTCCTTTGTTTTCACAGCAAATGAAGAAATCCCAAAGCTTTGCCACCTTCTCTTAGATACCTTGATTTCTCTTCTGAAATTGGGTTTGAGGCAGAAAATACCGAGAGAAAACTCGTAAGTGCCAAAGTGAGACCCACATAGAGAGAGGGCTGCTGCCACCCCACCCCCACGCAGGAGGAGCCTCCCGGACTTGGAGGTGGAGCCTGCCTGCCCCACCGCTTCCCGCCCTGGCCGCCTTCCCTGGGCCCGCAGAGCTGGGCTTCTGCTAAGGCGGTGTGCTTCAGCAGCACCAGAAGGTATTGGTGGAGAAAGCTGCCCCAGATCCAGGGTTTTCTGCCCAGTGGGGGACGGAGAGTGGACAGAGGGGAGTGTGGATTTATGAGAGGGGGTAGTGCTGCCATCTGGCTCTCTGTGGCCCCAAACCTCTTGTGTCAACAACTTCTGATGTGTGACTCTTCACCTTACTCTTCCCAAGATGCTATTAGGACCAGATTTAGTTTTTGTCAGACTGTTATCTGATTGAGTATCTACCATGTGGCAGGCACTTTGCTAACCGCTATTACATATTTATCCCACTTATTTTTTGCCAGGCCAGTGAGTAATGAGGTGGGACTATCGATAGGGGACTATCGATATCCCCTATCTTGTGGATGAGGAAGCAGGCTCAGAGAGGGGACTTGGCTTGACCAGGACCACAGAGTCAGATGCAGAGGGGCTGGCTTTAAAAATACATCCGTTTGACCAGAGCTGCATTCATGGGTCGTAGGCACTTTTGCCTTGCTGGGACCCTTCTTCCACTAAAAATAATACCAATTTTTAAAAAACCCTATATTTTACAACAATTAAAAAAACCCTATATTTTACACTTGTGTTGGTATAAAGACAAGTATAATCCAGGCCAGATTAAAAATTAAAACATTTTCTTCAGCACTAAGTTTGTTTCTCCTTCTGATTTTAGCAGAAATCATAACATTTTTTGTGGGTCCCTACAAGTATTGGAAACCCTGGCACCAAGCCCACTGTACCTAATGGAGAACCAGGCTTTGCTTTCTTCCTGCGGGCTACTTGGGGCCCTGCCTGACAGCTCAACCTTCACTTTGCTTTCTCTTCCATCACATTCTAGGGCATTCTAGGGCAATTGAGTCATCCCTTCAATGGGGGGGGAGGGAGGGTTGGTGAGATCTTAGAAAAGATGTAACCCCTGTCCCCAATATAATCTTGCCTAACCCAATTAAAACCCTGCTGTGGCCAAGGAGGGCTGCACCAGGCCAGGCTGCCTGCCTCCAGGCTCTAGGACATGGGCAGTGTCTGGTCCTCATAATGAGATTAGGCCTGGTGGCCTTTTAACAAAACTGTGGGCATGAGGAGAGTGATTCTCAGCACTTTCAACCCCTGCGGGTATCTCCTGTCCCTTTTTGATGACATTAAGTGGAGTCTGACTGCAAGTTGGTGTGGGAGGGGAGGGGTGACTGTCTCAGCCCAAAGTTCCAGAAGCTGCCAGAGCTGTCACCCCCGTCTTGTGCTCTGACAGGAAGGAGGGTGGCTGTGTAAGGGGCTCTGAGGGCTATCAGAGCCTCCTCTGCTTCCATAACTCTGGTCTGCCCGGCAGAGGGGAACTTTGGGGTGGAGAGTGGCAGCTTCAAGGCCCTTGATGCTGTCCCCCACACTTCTGCTCTGGGAACAAAGGAGGCCCGGGGTTCTGGGGGCCAACCCAGCTGGCAGGGAAGAGAGTGTTCTCACTGTCTGGTTTGGGAAATGAAGGGGCCTGGTTCAAAGGCATTTGCTTGCTAGGGAGTGACTCTCAACTGCCTTCAAAGTTTGCACATGCAAAATGTGTTTGTGGATGGGTCGGATTCCAGCCAGAGTCAGTAGGATGCGGTCTCTCTTCAGCAATTGGAAGCAGCCCCTTCTTGCACAAAGATAGGTTGCCAGTGACTTGAACCGAATAGGCAACAGGTGAATGCCATTGCTGAAGGAATCTGGATCTTTCACACTCGGAACTTTTGGACTGCGGGGTCACCTGTAGGCAAGGCACAGACAGGCCTGCCTGAGGCAGGATGGTCTTGCTTGGTGTGAGCTTTCCTGCATCCCTCATACTTGGGCTGAAATCACCATCAAATTGGAAGGGAGGGTGGGGGAGGTGGATTGGTCCTCCATAGTTCCAAAGGTCATCCTTTATCTGTGGCTTCCTCCTGGTTGCCTCATTACCCGGATGCTTAGTTCCCTAGGACAGGTGGGGCAGGTGAGCTGCCTTTGGAGCAGTTGACAGGAAGATCTCATGGAGCAGCTGGCTCATCCTCCTGCCACCCCGTCTCTCTTAACTACCTGTTCCCTCCTGCTTCCTTCGTTCCCAGGAGAGCTCCCAGGGAACACTGGTGCTTGTTGCTGTGGTGGGCTTAAACCGCCTTAGGAGCATGGTTTCCTGAGGGGTGAGGGGTACAGGAGGACTGGCCTGGGACAGGGAGAGACCTCCTTGGAGCTCTGTTTCAAAGCGACTTCTTTGGCAAATGCCCATTTGGATCCTTGATTGGCTTCAGTATTTGGAAAGCATGAGAGCTCCACCCTAGATTCTCGGCAAAGCCACGCTGCCACCAGACAGCCAGCTGTTCAGGGAGTGCCACCTCAAGGTATTAAGGTGGGGAAAACTGTCTTCCGTGCGTATAGTGGAAAGTGCTCTTGGCGGCCTGAGTTGAACTCGTGGCTTGAATTCTTACTACCCTTTACTAAGAAAATCTGCATCTGCTGTGTAACTTGTCTGCAAGCTCCTTGAAGGCAGGGATCAAGTCTGAGCTGTATAGCTCCGGTGTCCAGCAGTATTTGCCAGCACACGGCAGGGGCTCGATGAACAAATGAGCAGCTATTTGCTGCTGGTAATTTGGGGCATGTCCTTTATCCTCTTTGAGCCCCAGTGTCCTCACGCATTGATTTGGGACAGCACTCCTCCCACCATGGTTGTATGGCGAAGGTTCCGTGAAAGAATGCTGATGATCATAAGGGAAGGGAAACAAAAATAATGTAAGAACAGGGAGGGGGACAGAACGTAAGAGACTCATAGATATGGAGAACAAACAGTCTGCCGTGAGGCCCCTGGCACCCCCCCAGCACGAGCGGGCACCCCCGCTCTTTGCCGCAGTGGGTGCGGACAGCATCAGCAGTCTGCCTTCCTGGGGAGTTCAGGGTGGAAGTGTACAATGCAGAGCGGCAGAGCCCCCCGTGTGGTCACCTCACTGCTCCAAAGTGTGATTTCTTTTCAGTGCCACCAGCTACTTCCCTAGTTCACAGCAGACACTGACTGAGGTCCTACAATTTAACTCCATCCTGACACTGTCTACCTGGAGATGGCAGGTTAAGGGCTCAGGCCCACGAGACTGCCCCCACTTAAGAGGCCAGTCGCAAACCCAGGTTGGCACCTGTGCTTCCGACCCACCTGCTGTAGATAAGAGGTTCCCATGGCCTTCTCCTCACGTTCAGTTAATTTGCTAGAGCAGCTCACAGAGCTCAGAGAGTTATTTTACTTATTAGGTTTATTACAAAAGGATGTGACTCAGGAACAGCCAGATTGAAGAGGTAGGTAGGGCGAGGTCCGGAAGGGTCCAGAGCACAGGAGCCTCTATCCTCAGGGAACTAGGGTAGCCGTCCTCCCCCCTGGAAGCTCCTTTTGAATTTTAATGGAGGCTTCAGCACAGAGACAGGGGTGATTAGATCATTGGCCATTGGTGATTGAACAAATCTGCTGTCTTCTCCCTCTCTAGAGGTTGAGGGGTGGAACTCAAAGGTACAGCCTTCAGTCACATAGTTCCCCTGGCACCCAACCCCCCCCCCCATCTACAGGTTATCCAGGGGGCTCAGTAACATAACAGAAGACAGCATTAAGGCTTTCTTGGGAAATTTTAGGAGCTTTAGAAGTTTTAGGAGCTCCATCATATATATATATATGTTTAATTTAATATAAATTAATATATATTAATATATATATTTAATTTAATAAATATATATTTAAGTTTTTAAATGTTTATTTTTTGAGAGAGAGAGAGCACAAGGAGCACAGAGTGGGGAGGGGCAGAGGGAGAGGGAGACGCAGAATCCGAAGCAGGCTCCAGGCTCTCAGCTGTCAGCACAGAGCCCGACACGGGGCTCGAACCCACAGACTGTGAGATCAGAACCTGAGCTGAAATCAGAAGCTTAACCGACTCAGCCACCCGGGTGCCCCCATCCTATATATTTCTTATAAGTCATAACATCACAGCCCTGAAGAGAACCTTGCTCTGGTTTCCGTCTGCCTCCTTAGGAGACTGGCTGGGAGGGAAACATGCTGGCTCTGGCTTGCCCGGCCACAGAGCAGCTCCGAGATACAGGGGCGATGATCCCCTTTGCGGCCCTGAGCTCCCTCTGCTGTCGTTGGTTATTCTGCTGGGCAGGGAGAAGCTGTGGCAGGTCTGCCAGCAGCCGAGCACGTTCCTTCTGTTCTTCCTGATTCAGAGCTAATCAGATTCTGACTGTGCCCCGGGCTCTCTGGGGATAAATCTAATAAAGGCGGGGAGGACGGAGAACAAGTGACCCGAGGACAGCCTCTCTCCGGTAGATTTTTCCTGTTAGAGTTAGGGCAGAGGAATAGATCCCCAGGAGACCCGAGGAAGAGTGGGACGCGTTCCTCGGAGGGGGCACGGCAGCAGACAGGCACAGGCGAGCTTCGTGGCAGGCAGGCAGACTGCCGACGGGGTAAGTGGGCTCCAGGCCAGCGTTGGGGATGCAGAGGTGGGGACAGAGAAGAAAGAAACGTCCCTTTCAGGTTGTGGGGCAGGTGGATGGAGGGGAGGGTGAGTGGCAGGGAGCCGGAAGAGAGGCGCAGGGAGTGAGGCAGTGTTGTGAGAGCCAGGGAAGCTGAGTGGACTTGGTGAGAAGATGCGGGGCTGCAGATGGAGACGGAGTTAGGATCGTGTTACAAGTGTTGCCATTTCACTGGCAGCCGCCCCCGTTTGCACAAGGTGGGACAACATGAGTTGGGGAACTGGCCTCGTCCTCGTCCTTGTCCCTGGCAGGTCTGGCGGGTTAGAAGGGGTACAGAGATTGGGGTGGAAGCTCCATGCTCTGGCTGGGGTGGTGGCAATGAAGATGGCCAGGAGGGAAGTGATGGTGGGGACCCTGGGGGAGAACCCCGAGGATTCGGTGGCCTGTCTGTAGAGGTGTCAGCGTCGGGACCAGGAGGACAGCCGCAGCGGCCACCTGCACGAGGTCAGGATTGGATTCGGTTATGATGACGATGGGCAGATGAATCGACTAGGGATGTGCGGAGGAGTTTGAAGTGTTTGCTGATGTCGGTAGAGATGTGTGGTGGGTGGCTAGAAATGGGGTTTGTATTTGGGGGAGAGGACAGAACTGGCCCTAGATGTAGGAGTTGCCTTGGGTAAAGGTGACCGATATGGACGGTGGCAAGAGTCTCAGAAATAGGGGTTCATTGTCTGCCAGGGCTTCTGGAAACAGGTGTTCCCACCTGCTATGGGAGTGTGTTTGGAAGATCATTTGATAAAATGTCAAAAACCTAAACGAGAACATAGCCTTGCTGCAGGATTCCAATTCTCCATTTAGGAATTAATGAGACACATGTGCAAAGGTGATCGCATGGTGTGGTTTATTTAGTGAAAAACTGGAAGCTAGCTAAATGTTGAACAGTTGGGATTGGGGTTTGGTTAAAGTGTGGAACAGCTGTATGGTGCAGTCTTGTGTTGTCATTGAGACAATGATGTGAATGTATATTCATGGACAGGAAAAGATTCACAGGATCTACTGTTAAGGTAGAAAAGCAGGTTAGAAATCGGATGTCTCTGTTTTTATAAAAGAATGTATATGTTTGTAGAAAAAAAGGATGTAAGGACACACATGAAAATGCTGATTACTTGTAATTCTTTCCCTTTTTATGTTAATCTGTATTTTACTGTAGGGAGTATGTATTAGTAACACTCGCCACTGCCCCCAACTTTTTTTAATGGTGAAGTTGCCAAAATTTGTCAGATGTGGCAGAGAGAATCGGGGGGTAAAAAGAGACCTCCCCAATTACTGGTAGAAGACCGGGCCGACTGGACACTTGTTCTTGAGCGGTACAGGGTGGAGAGAGACAGCAAGCGCTGGGTGTTAGAGGGAGACCCAGAACCCATTAGGCCATGTCTCTGCACCGCTGTCATTCTCTGGAATGTTTCCACTGCTGCTTGGAAAGCCCAGGACGCTGCGGGCAGAGAACCTCTTTCTGTGGGCTCGGGACCCTGCAGCACCGAGGCAGACAGATGGAGGAGGCCATCCTTGTTCATCACCGGCCTCGTGCCCTGGCTGCCTCTCCTGACTGGGCGTGTGGGCCAGGCCTGGGCTCCGGGTCTGGAGAACTATCTGATTCCGGGTGAAGAGCTTGCGCGAAGGCCATCCTGACCCTGGGGGAGGCTAACATGGGGGTGCACTGGGCAGAGGAGCCAGGAAATGCGCTTACCACACACACAAACACATGCACACACGTACACACGCATGCAGGTGCACACACACAGGCACACATGCACAGACCCCTGAGCAAGACTTTCCCAAGCCTCCTGGAACTGCCACTTTCTTATCTGTGGCATAGGGACAGTAACTACCTGCTTTACTGTCCCATACAGGATGGCTATGAATTAAGTGATGTATATGAAACACCCCATGGGCTCTGAATGCCAAGGTGCTACTCCTTGTCCTGAGTAGGGGTGCAGACCCGGCGGGCCCTGAGCATGGGGGGAGGAAGTTGTGGCAGGGGGAGCAGGCTGTGGGGCTGCTCCTGTTCCTCACGTCGTCTTCAGGCAAAGCAGGGTCAGAGCACGGGGGCAGCTGTGGGGGCTACACCCAGGCTCCTGGGGAGGGCAGGATTTCTCCTTCTGTCGGCCACACGGCCACACGCTGGGTGCATGGGTGCCGGGATGTCAGCTTTCTCATTCTCTCTGGACGTACTTGTGACCCATCTGGAGGACAAACCGTGACTAACTCTGTACCTTCAAGGGATTTTCTCACTTCTCTGAACCTCCTCTGTGAGCCCCACCTGAGAAAAGCCAGGGCCTTGGGAAACAGAATGCAAGGCACAGGCACGTCCCCCCACCTCTGAATCTGGAGGACCTTCACTTGCACCCTCACTGCATCTCATAGCCAGGTGCTGGCCTGTCTGTCTCTGGGGGAAGCGGGGCACCTCTGCTGAGCTGTACTTGAATCTCGGGAAGGGATGGAAGCACTGCTGTAGCACAGGGGCCGGGAGAGGTGGGTGGAAGGGGGCAGCGGGCAGCGGGAGGCCGGGACGTGGCCTCTGGAAGCTGTGGGCCACTCTGAGCTTTGCTGCTTTCCTTCCAGCAGCTGCCTCAGCATGGAGAGCCACGCAGGCCTGGCGGCCACCCCCAGGGCACTGCCTTACTACGTAGCTTTCTCCCAGCTGCTGGGCCTGATCGCGGTGGCCACGACTGGTGCCTGGCTCGGTCTGTACAGGGGCGGCATCGCCTGGCAGGGCGTCCTGCAGTTCAACGTGCATCCCCTCTGCATGGTCATAGGCCTGATCTTCCTGCAGGGAGATGGTGAGTCCCACCCTTGCTCCTGAGAGCGGCGGTTTGCAGGAACCCTATCATCCCTGGGGTCTCCTGCACTTAGACACATCTAAGATTCTAGAAAAGACAGGAAGGAAGCTGGCTTGGGGCCTGGGAACACCAGGCATCCAAATCTAGGGGCCTGAGGTTTGTGGAGCATCCAAGGGTGTGCGTGTAGAGCAAGCAGCCCAGGGGCTGGGCTGTGAGCTGAGGCTGGCTTCCGCAGGGGTGGTTTGAGGTTGGAAGAAAAACGGTGAGTGTGCGTGTGTGTGCGCACGTGTGTGCGTGTGCATGTGTGTATGTGTTGGGGGAATGGTGGACTTGGCAGAGCTGCAGCTCCTCTCTGGGGCAGGAGTGAGCCTGTGACTGGCCCCCACCCTGCCTTCTGTGCGGCCTGCTCTGGTAACAGGAAAGCTGGATCTGGATCTGTTTGACCCATTCTTCCTAGGGGCGGTCCTGGTGACAGCCATTCCCCAGCAGCAGATTCCTAAGAGGCATTCCCCGTGCCACCTGGCCCTGTCCGGCTCAGCCCTGTGAGGGGGATTAGCTTGGGAATCGGGTTCCCCACCTAGGGAACCTGGTTGCGGAAGGTAGTGAGTATCTGCTCAGCTTCAATACTGGGCTATTTGAGGACCATCAGAGCTAAGAGGTGAACTCAGAAGCTTGGTGACACCTAAGCGTGACTGCACGAGGAACCGAGGACACAGCCCAGAATACACGGGACACTTGATAAGAAAGTGGTGGCGGCAGGGGCGCTAGGGCACACCTACCCGAGGGCCCCCGCGAGGCCCCACGGAGACTGTTTCCTGTCCTACTGCCTGTGGCTGTGGTGCCTTGCCAAGCCCTTGGTGCAGATCACCTCTGCCAGCCAAGCTGCGTCTCCTCGCTGCCTGTGGCAGGCGGGCCTGACCTTCCCTTTCTCACTCCCTGAAAGCCCTGCTGGTTTACCGTGTCTTCAGGAACGAGACCAAACGCACAACCAAAGTCCTGCACGGGCTGCTACACGTCTTCGCGTTCATCATCGCCCTGGTGGGTGAGTTCCTGGGCACGGCTTTCCCTTTCCCCCACCTCTGCTTCTAACTTGGTGGGGGGGTCGCCGCTTGACACGCCTGGTCTCCACGCCGGTTCTGTTGTGGTCCCGTCCCCATCCCTCCCGCGATCCCCCACCCCCCAGGCATCCCCGGCTGGGATGCTGGGTCCTGGCAGCCCTCAAGCCGGGACCAGATCCCAGAAGTCCCGGCTGGTTGGGTTTCCCTTGGGTCACCTCACCCGCTCCCCTCCCCACCAGCCCTGTCCTCACACGGCCCCTCTCTCCCTCCGGTCCAGGCCTGGTGGCGGTGTTCGACTACCACAGGAAGAAGGGCTACGCTGACCTGTACAGCCTGCACAGCTGGTGTGGCATCCTCGCGTTTGTTCTCTACTTCGTGCAGGTGGGCGGTTCTGCGCCTCGGCGGTGGGGTGGGGGCGGGGGTGCACGAGGCCACCGCGGGGCCGCCTGTGCCACAGAAGGGCCCGCTTTCCCGGGCGTGTGCCTGAGAGTGGAGGAGGTGCTTTAGCACAGTTGGACGCTGCTTTCGGATCCCCAAGGGGGTACGAAAGCCAGGATCTCCCAGGCGAGGGTGCCTCAGACCCAGGCCACCTTCCAGCTGACGTGGCACATGTGTCTGGCCACGGGCCTGGGCTTCCAAGCGTTTGAGCGCGATGAACCGAGATAGGCCTCGAGTGCCGGGGCCAGGACCTTTCCCGAAAGCGCTTACTGCTCCCCCCACCCTGCTCTTGAGATGAAGAAAGCCAAGCGGTGGATGGAGGGGTTCCCAGACTGCGTGTGGACACGGCCTACGTGGGGTGACCTCGGGTGGGTCAGACGGCGGCCGGCTCAGTCTCCGGCACCACCCCGCCTTTCCTTGTAGTGGCTCGTGGGCTTTGGCTTCTTCCTGTTCCCTGGAGCTTCGTTTTCTCTGCGGAGCCGCTACCGCCCGCAGCACATCTTCTTTGGCGCCACCATCTTCCTGCTCGCTGTGGGCACAGCCCTGCTGGGCCTGAAAGAGGCGTTGCTGTTTAAACTTGGGTGAGTGTCCTGTGCCACCACGGGCCTCGGGAGACGGAGCCCTGCCCTCTGCTTCTCCGGGCCTCTGCCTCCTGAGGCAGCTTCTTGTGGAGTTAGCGAAGCAGCGGTTTTCCTCTCGGGGCGGGGGACGGGTGGGGCTGGGATTGGAATACCACGCCAGCTTTCTGGCCTTGGTGTGAATGGCATTTGGGCCTGACCGTGACCCCTCGGGTGGCTTCTCCCTTCCATCCAAACCCTGCAGGGCCAAATATAGCACGTTTGAGCCTGAGGGCGTCCTGGCCAACATACTGGGCTTGCTGCTGGCCGGCTTTGGCGTGACTGTGCTCTACATTTTGACTCGCGCTGACTGGAAACGGCCACCCCAGGCGGAGGAACAGGCTCTCTCCATGGACTTCAAGACGCTGACTGAGGGCGACAGCCCCAGCTCCCAGTGACGGCCTGCCCTCGTCCCACAGGGAGGGTCTGGCTGCGGCTGGCCTCCTCGGTTCCGGGAGGTTCTGATAGGCGTCTTTGCCGTGCCCTGTCGAGGCCGTCTTTAGGCAGGGTGGCTCTCGGGGAGGGCTCGGCAGTGTCGGTAGGGACCGTGAGGGCAGCGTTCCCCCTCGAGCGCTGATTTCTGGGGTTTAGGGCTTGACCTCCTCTACTTTCTTCTCCTTGCTGCTGCTTTAGAGTCCTGTTAGTCATGCACAGACCCCTGCCCCTGTTGTCGCTCAAATCAAGAAGCTTTGGGTAGAGTTTTGGGTGGTCAGGCCTGGTCACAAAGGCATAGATCCCTGAAGGAGATGCAGGGTGGCTCTCCCCTTGAGGCAGCGGATGCTGGGCCGCGTCCAGTGGCTGCAGAGAGCACAAGGCTGTGGGATAAACTGGGGCTCAGCGACAGGCCTGGCAAGGCCAAGACTTGCTTTATGTAACACTGAATTCAAACCAGGAGTCTCGCTAGTCTGAATAACACGGTGGTGTGAATGGGCCCAGTCTTTGGCAGTAGAGCAAGTGATATTATGTGTAAAATATGTTGGTATTCGGAGCGAGGTTCCCCAGGAGAGGGGAGGGACTGGCCCCTGGGAAGCTCTGGAGATGTGGCTTTGGCCCAGCTGTGCTCTTGGCCTCCCCTCTCTTCAGTCCTCAGCCCCAAGATGCTGTGCTGGGAGAGGGACAGGGCACAGGACTGAGACAAACTGTACTTGGCGGCTGAGAGAAGGGGAAGGAGGTGGCCCCTCGCACTGGCGGGCTGGGTGGTAGGCTGGCCACTCCCTGCAGGGGCCCGGGCCACCAGTGCCCCAGTGTCCCTGCCCTCACAGCCTGGCTCTGACTCGAGGCCGAGGGCATACGTCTTGTTTTTGTTTTTAAACAAAAAACTGCCCTGTTGCCCCCTTTCCCTTTCAGTGGGGAAGGCAGGGCCGCCTGCTTCTGTCCAGGAGGAAAGCCTCATCCCCTTACCTGGGCCCATCTTTGCAGGAGGTTGGGACGGAGTTGGAATTGGGTTAATTCCCCCCAGCTGTGTAAGTGTGTTATGCTGCCGCCTGAGTCACTCTTTGGATTCAGTCTGGAAGTAACGTGATCAGAGCATTGACCTTGTGCTTCTTGGACTTGGGGAATGCTCTCTTCTTGTTTTCCTCATTTTCTGGGCTTTGAGGAACATAACAGTTTGAGACAGACACAGCTTACTTAAGTGAAGAAATGAATGAGGTTTCTAAGCCCGGCTACTGTTCTGTAGATGGGTTGCCTTTTTCTCACCTAACCGCTGCCTTAGAGAAAGGGGCTGGCCGCTTCTGATGCTCAGATTTCTAACCCTCCGCTTTGCCACAGGCCCTGCCTTAGGCAACAACGCCAGTTCTCCCAGCAGGTGCCTGCAGGTCCGGAGCCCTCCCCAGCAGGGCTGCCCAGGCCCCTCGGAGCCTCTCCCGGCCTCCCTGTCCCAGCCTCCCTGCCTCCGCCGCAGCTTGTCTGGAGGCTACGCCGCGTGCTCCGCCAGGAAGGGGCTCCGTCAATTCTTTCACCACCTGGCTCATGCTGAATAGCCAGGTATTTTACAGGTGGAGAGACTCCTGCTTGGACAAACTACCAAAGTACAACTGTGTATCTACCCGCTCCCCGCCCTCCCCCACCCCCCCGCCTCAGAATGCCACTTAGAGAAACGGAACCTTAAATTTGCAGTAAAAATCTGTAAACTGGTCTGTTTGCCAACGTGTATGTTGGATGATTAAGGAGGCCCCCTGAAAGCTGATCCATTGTGGTTTATTTTACTTTGCCTGTGGCCAGTTGTCTGTGAAGTACAATGTAGCGTCGGTGCAACAGATGATTCAATAAATGTCTACAGCTGATCTCTGGCCTCTTCTCTTCATTCACCCTGGCAAAAAAGGGGCCAGTGCTTTTAGCGGCATCAGACGTGTGAAGTTAGTTCTACCAGGCTCGACAGAAACTGAACCTCCCCTCCCCCCACGCTGGGCACAGAAGGTAAAGCGATTCGTGATCTCTGTCATGGCCCAGGGGCTGTTCAGTCTCTGGACCCAGAGTGGGAGGCTCTTCCTCATGGTTAGAGAAACCCTTTTCCCAACCCAGAGACAGTGGCCTGGAGGGTGGAGCGTGGTAAGGGCCTCGGCAAGAAGTTTTCCCTAGTAGTCACTCAACTTTTTACCTTTTAAAAGAGATGTCTCTTTATTCCTTAAGGAGAGGAGCAAAGCTTTGAGAACGAGGCGGGATTCCACTTGAGAGCAGTTCCTAAGACCCAGGCAGGAGATGTGTTTATATGAAGTTGGGCTGGATCTCACGCTGGGATACACTGCGCTCCCGTCACCTAAAACAAAACACTAGTTAAAGGGACCCCTGCAGCAAATCCTCTGAGGAGTAATCCTTGGGGAACAGGAGTCCTTCCTAACATTTACTTTATTTTCTGTGTTCTCCAGAGGTCTTTGCTTTCTGCGTCTGTAGAATCTTTCTCCTGAATCAAGGCTTCTGTGAGAAACTTCATTTGCTTAAAAGCATGCAAAGCACGTGGCATGATACATGTCCCAAGCTGATCGCTCAGTCAAGATCACAGCTGGCTCTCAGTGTGCGGGGAGAAGCAGCTGGCTCGTCTGCAGGCTGTCTCACTTCCGGCTCTTGTGCTCACTTCTGGATCAAGGGTCTTTGTGTTTGTGAATATTCAAATGATCCCAGACATGAAGGTCACGCCTCTCCCTCTAGACTCGCATCTCCTCTCCTTCACCTCCTCAGGAGTCCCTCACCTTACTGGGTTTGGAACCCCCCGAGTCCCCAACTTTTCAGACCAAGCAGGTGGTTGCTTCCGGAGTCCTCTCCTCTCCTCTCCGAAGGCCACTCTGACATCTAGGGTGCGTGACTGCGTGCCCGGAGTTTTCCTGCTTCCCCGGCTCTGTTTGGGGGAAATGGATGTGGTTATGCAACAGGGATGTTTGTTCAGCACAACGTGGTGTCTAGAGGAAGCGGTCTCTTCCCTTGCTTGTCCCTGCAGTAGACAGAGAGGTACCAGCCGGGCAGGAAACCCGCAGCCTCTCCATTTACGATGCAGCCGTCTAGCTCTCTAGACGGTGAGGATGGCAAATTCTGGCCAGATTTCTGAAGAGAAGATGAAGCCACTGGAAGAAGCTTTGACGGAGTTAGCCTCAAGGACTCTAGCTGGGGCTGTCCCCTCACCTCGGGCTCCCACCGCAGCCCGCTTCAGGCAGCAAGACAGGGCTGCGGGCCTCAGCTACTACAATGAAACAAGAAGAGCTCAGTGCTCCCTTGGTTTGGCTGGAGAGAAAGTCACCAAAGAAAAAGCCTCTCTTTCTCAGCGGGCGCTGCAAGCCTTCACTGAAAGGCCCTTAGAACCGTCTTTTCTTAGCCACAGATGTCTCGAGCGCCTACAGCGCTGTCTCAACTCCGAGGAGGTGCTCAGTCACTTCGCTGAGTGAATACGAGCCCAAAGGGGTGACTCTGCTTGTTCCGCAAGAGACCAACCAAATCATCAGGAATGTGGCCTCTGTCTCAACCTGCCAGAGTCGTGTCCCTGGGGGAGGGCTCCTCGGCACGGCAGGCCTCAGTGAGGGGGAGCCTGAGTCAGCCCCCCAGGCAGGTATCGTAACATAAGGAGAAAGCACCACAACACCGTGTTTTTCCAAGTGTTACCCTTTATAAATAAGTACATTTGCTTTCATACATACAGTTCATTGTACGGATGGCGATCTGTACACATGGGCAGGAGAATGCATTCATTTACCTTTTCACATCTACCTCACACAGCTCACATGTACAGACAATACAACTGCTCAAGCAAGTACAGCAAAGGAAAATGTCTTTCCTTATACACAGGGGGCTAGATGCCTCTGTGGGGTGCGGGACATCCCCACTGCACGAGTTCACAACTGTGTGGTGTTCAATATATCGGGAGAGAGAACAAACATGCATTGGATAATATACTGTACAGAGAAAGTCCTTTACATCTGAGTCATAGAAAACCTAAAGGAAAACTAAGTGCATTAAAGCTTTTTCCAGCAAGTGTCTTGAAAGGACAGCAAAGAGGAGGAAGAATCAAAATCATATTAGTACAAATCACTCTTTAATTGTAGACTGTACATGTCTGTACTAATTAAAATCATCTTGGATTTGGAGGAGACAGAACAGAGACGGAGATGCTGCGCTGGATGGAAAGGAGGCCATGCCTGAGAATGGCACCTGCCCTGAGCCTGAGGAGGAACTGGCCCCACTCAGCAGGAATCAGCCAAAGGAAAAAACAAAAACAAAAATAAACTAGAACAGGAAGTGTAACTTACAGGATTTCCAAAATAACCTGTGAATGGAGGAGAGATCGGGAGCCGGCTTTTCTATCTTTTTTTCCAGTAAGCTGGTACACAATAAGGCAGGTACATTCAAGTACTAAATTTTCCAGAATTAACTCTCTGTCTGGTCCTGGGGACCGAAGGGATCGAGTGGAGTCCCCCTAACCAGGTGTTCTGGTTAGCGATTAGGCAAAAGAAAACTCCAGCCAGTAAGTGCTACAAAAACAAAGCAGCTAGGCTCCTTCCTGTCCACAGAGTAGGTCTGTCTGAAAAACAAGAGTGATGCTGGCCTGCATCTATATGCATTCAGCTAAAAACCCGACAGGTCAGCTTAGTGGAGATTATCAGAGTCAGCAGGAAGAAGTGAGATGGTATGGGTGAGGAAACATGAAAGTAACACTTGATTTTTGGTGTCCAATTATGCATTCATTTGGTACTGACTTTCAAAGCTCTGACTGTGGCCATCACGTGGCCACAAGCATCTCAGGGTGGTTCAGCAGCTGTGAGGCATTGGACACCGAAATGCAGGTTACCAACACTTCAGCCCTTGAGTGGTCTGTGTTATAAAAGGAGTTGATGAAGACCCAGTGATTATTCAAGTAGCTCTGCACAGTGGCTCCACCATTCCCATTGTGCTTGTGTCCAGGCCCCCAGCCAGCCACCTTTTCTTGGGAGCAGCCAGAGCTGAGTTCAAGGCATTGCATGGTGAAGGTTTCCATGACACGTCTTTGTAGGTAGCTCTTACCCCTAAGCCCTTTTTGTTCATTGTTGTTAGTCATGGTAGATGGTCAGTCTGGAATTCCTAGAGGAAAAGGAGAAAAAGCCACACCTCCCAACGTGCACGCAACGGGGCGGCACAGGCCTTGGTGTGGAAGCAGCAGCAGGCTGCCTTTGCAAGTTGGCTTCGTGAGAAGTGGGCAGCCCAAGGACAGACAGACAGGGTGGGAGAGGCTGGGACAGGGAGGGGACACCCTGCCCCCTGGGGAGCCTGTTCCATTTTGTGGCAAAGGTTCAGTGAGCAACTGGTTTTGTCCAAGGCATTTCTGCAGTAGAAAAATAACTATTTTTGAACCAAACCACCCACCTGTGACATCTCTGGAGTTGTACAAGTTGGAGGCCAAGAGGAACTGAGAGGGGAGCTCATGGGGAGTAAAGAAGACTTCCTCATACCCACCCGGCCATCAGAGGAAGGGAGTTCTAGTCAACATTCTCCGGGCCTCTGCCTGGCTGAGGGTCCAAAGCAGGTAGCGGTCAAAGAGCTTATCTTGCCACGACTGGCACGGATGCGTGAAGACCCCTTTCCAGGTCTTTGTCCCCTCCTTCCTGAACCCTCTGGGCCTGCCTGCTGCCCTGGAAGCAGCCCCTCCAGAGGACGCGCTGCCGGTCTTTGCCACCAGACGAGCCTGGTGCAGAGCCACAGTGACACCTAGTGGTAGAATATGGTTGAAGCAAGGTGACGTCTACATAACCCACTGTATATGACTAAAATCTAAGGAAAATACTTATGGATATTAAATTAGATACTGGTTAATTTTTCTATTGGGTACATCTCTGGGATATAAAAATACCAATATTTAGAGAGGGGTTCATAAACTACTATACAATATAAGGACTGAGAATACCTTTCTCTAGGCTGTTCTGTTTACAATAATTTAGGAAAAGTGTTTAATAATCCAGGCTTAACTAAATTAGCAAACTTGTATCTCTGGACAACGACCTGGGGTACTGTACATGATTCTAATTAGTGGAATTTTCCTGAGCCTTCGAGTTTAAGTTAAACACATCTAGAAAGAGGGGCACGTGGGAGAGGAACAAGAAGGGTTTGTGCTCTATTAATCTGGGGCTTTAATAGTGCACGTCTGCAACCCGGACAAGATACAACAGCAGATACAAAATGGTCTCCATTTTGTCCATGCCAAATTCTCATGTTACACAGGTTTTCCCTTTACTTTGTAAATAAACATTAATTTTTAATTGTTAATTGTGTGCCTTACTGATCCAGTAAATAAAGTAACCATGTCTCAGGAGTCCCTAAGAAAATTGCTGGAAAAGCACTTTAAAATCACTGCAAATATTTTTTGTATTTAAAAATTCTTAATCCTTTTGATGCTTATATACAACAGTTATTTCTTGTGCTATAAATGTTGTGATCCACTGCTTGATTTCTTTCCTTTTTTTCCTTTTTTTTCCCTTGAAAGATACACTAAAAGACAAGAGCGGTTCTGCTATTTTCTAATGAAGACATTACGCACACTTAAATATCCAGTATTTATCAGAGTTACAAATTCAAACAGTAAAGTGCACCCATTTATAGACATGATGTGATGGAAACCCATTAGTGCAAGAATTCTGGGTGAACACAAACGTACAATTTGGTGAGAAACCTAGAGGCTAAAGTTTGTTACCACTGTCTCCATTTCAGGGTGTGTGAATTGGGTGACTGGAACTTAACCAGTTTCATCTGAAAAACTTCCCCCACCAGAAGCCAGACACGGACTCAGTGAGTGCTGCTGGGGGAGAGGGCGTCTCCGGGATACAGTACTAAG